TTTATATCTTATAAATACCCAATCATGTAACTATAATCTGTGAGCACCTAATAAAAGATAAACCCTAGTTGCAACCCGTGGAGTAGGTTACTGACCGAACCACGTTAAATCTCGTGTTCTTATTTTCTGCTATTTGTGTGTGTGTTTGTTCGCTTCCGCTTGACCGCCTCTGATCTCTGATTCCTAACAAGTGGTATCAGAGCCTTGGTTCGGTTAAACACACGGTTACACAGGATCAATCGCAGGAAGAAGGCTGTTCAGGATTGTTTTTGCTGCTGTTTTGCTGCCGCGGTTAAGGGGCTGGTTCAGATTTGATCAGGGCTGGTTCGGATCTGATCAGAGGCTGGTTCGGATCTGGTCAGGGGCTGTTTGGTCGGTTTTAGGTGAACTTGGCGATTAGGGTTTCTGGTTTTGGACCTGGTACTCGTTGGTTCGGGTTCTTTGTTTTAGGGTTTGTATTCTTTTGAAGGTTGCTTGATTTCAGGCCGTTATTCCTTGATTTTTTCTCTAGTTTTTTTTTCTCTCGTTTTTGCAATGGCCGAGGACGGGAGGGTTCGAATCGAGAAGTTCAACGGTACTGATTTTGCATGGTGGAAAATGCAAATAGAGGCGTTGATTGGTGAGTGCGATTTGGACATGGTACTGGAAGAGAAACCGGATGGAATGGATAAGGCTGCTGAAGCAATTTGGGACTCAAAGGACAAAAAGGCAAGAGGTAAAATTACACTAGCTTTGACGAGGAGTGTGGCGTTTAATATCATGAAGGAAACAATTGCTCGTGGTATGTTAACAGCTCTGTCAAATATGTATGAGAAACCGTCGGCCGGTAATAGAGTGTTCCTGATGAGGGAATTGTTCATGATGAGAATGAACGAGGGCAGCCCAGTTGCTGATCACATTAATGAGGTCAATTCGATCTTGTCGAGGTTGTCATCAGTAGGCATGAAGTTCGATGATGACACTCAGGCTGTGATTCTGTTATCTTCCTTGCCTGATAGTTGGTCGGGATTTGTGACAACGGTTACTGAAACTGCTGGAAC